TTCCCCTCAGCATACACTGTTAATTCCAATAAAAACATGCTGCAAAGCAAAGGTTTCAGGAAGTTATAGTTCAAATGTTAGCTTAAAGGGACACTATAGTCACCCGAAAAACTACAGGTTAATATAGTTGTTCTGGTGAGTATAATAGCTCCCTTCAGGCATTTTCATGTAAACACGGCCTTTTCAGAGAAAAGGCAGTGTTTACATTGCCCCTAGGGACACCTCCAAGTGGCCACTCCTTAGATGGCCACTGGAGGGGCTTCCTGGCTCAGTGATGCACATTAAGCAGCCCTGTCGTTCAGCGTCCCTACGTTCTGCATGGAGATGCTGAATTTTCCTGATTGGCCAAAAAGGCATTTGGCCCTGACTCTGTACCGATTTTAGCCAATCCAATGCTTTCCCTATGGGAAAGCATTGGATTGGCAAAATATCGGTAATTTCGATTATGTCACAAAGGGGGTGGAGCCAGCATCGGCGGACCCGAGCGGCAATGGAAATAAGGTGAGTTTTAAACTTTAATAGTGGGGTTAAGGGGGGCAAACCACCTAAATTGTGGGTTTAGCACTATAGGGTCAGGAATACATGTTTGTGTTCCTGACCCTATAGTGATCCTTTAACACAACTAGCAGAAATCCCTTGATGTGCCTATAACGCAGAGATTTATAGGATATGCTCTGTACTGCAACAGTAAGCTAAAGGGACACTCTAAGCAACATAACCAATACAGCACATTGATGAGTATCCTGGCACCCCCTTTCCCCCATTTATGTTTGTAACGGAACGCCTGGCACCCCGACTGGGTACCTTCCGTTGACGGATGCTCCTAGTGCTTCCCGAGGGCTCCAAGCACTCCACTAGACACCATAACCACCGCAGACCCCACGAACCGCCACAGCTTGGTTGGGGTCTTGCCGTCTTCCTCCTACTCTGGGCCCAAGACCAGAGACCAGCTTCCAGAAGGCAGACCTCTCCTAAATCCAGAGAGCAGGAACAGGAACAGGCACAAGCTCTTACAAGAGCTTACTCTGGGGAGTATACAATCCCCAGAGTGTAGGTAGTTCTCCAATCCCCCAAACATGAGCCGAAACTTCATGAAGGGTAGAACGAGTCTCTTTAATGCAAGCCAGCACTCACAATTTATACAATTCCTCAGGCTAGAGGCACACCCCAGGGGCAGGCTGGGCTGGGGGGCAGGGAGGCAAATTATTTTAAAACCGGCCACTGCAGGGCCGGTCCTAATGCTGCAGCCGCCTGAGTTAAGAGCTTCTAGCGGCTGCAGCACAGCTTCTCCCCCCCCCTTCCCTGTAGTGTAACCGAGCTCCTCTCCGGTCCACGGTGCCCAGCCGGAATGATAGGAAGGTCATTCCGCGCGGAGTTTCTGTTTCCTGTAAGCGGCTGGACTGACAGGAAGTGCACACTGAGTGTGCACCTTCCTATCACTCCGGCCGGGTACCGGGGACTGGAGAGGAGCTCGGCCACGCTACAGGGGAGGGGAGATTAAGAACGGGGTGGAGATTAAGAAGAAATAGGGGGGTGAGGATTAAGAAGAACAGGGGGTGGGGGGATTAAGAAGAACAGGGGGCTGTAGGGATTAAGAAGAACAGGGGCTGGGGGGAAGAACGGGGGTGGGGATTAAGAAGAACAGGGGTGGGGAGATTAAGAAGAACAGGGGGTGGGGGGGAATTAAGAAGAACAGGGCAGGGGATTAAGAAGAACAGGGGTGGGGGGGATTAAGAAGAACAGGGGTGGGGGATTAGAAAGAACAGGGTGGGCAAGAAGAACAGGGGGTGGGATTAAGAAGAAGAGGGGGTGGGTGGGGGGATTAAGAAGAACAGGGGTGTGGGATTAAGAAGAACAGGGGTGGGGGATTAAGAAGAACAGGGGGTGGGGGATTAAGAAGAATAGGGGTTGGGGGGGATTAAGAAGAATGGGGGTGGGGGATCAAGAAGAACAGGGAGGGGGGATTAAGAAGAACAGGTTTGGGGGGGTGAGAGAACAGCACAGGGAGGGTGGGTGTGAGAAGTGACCGCTTAGGGGAGGGGGAGATGAGAGACCACTCAAGGGCAAGGAGAGCTCTAAGGGACAGAAGGGAGAGCCCTATAGACAGGGGCAGGACAGGAGCTCTTCACACCACGCGACACACACACACAATGCATCCCTACACACACAGAAACACAACATGCTTCCCTTACACACAGAGAAACACAACATGCTTCCCTTACACACAGAGAAACACACAATGCATCCATTACACACAAAGACAATGCATCCTTTGCACACATACACAGAAACACACAATGCAAACCCTTACACACACATGCAAACACACACTGCCTCTCTTGCATATACACAGAAACACAATGCATTTCTTACACACACTCAATGCACACACTTACAGGCACACACCTTGCATCCCTTATGCATACAAACACAGATTCACACAATGCATCCTTTACACACAAACGGAAACACACAATACATCCCTTATACACAAATACACACTGCTTCCACTACAAACAAATACACTGCATCACCTACACAAACTGATATTCCTATACACTACATACCATAAGCACACACATTAGATCATACCACATCCCCTACACACTCCACTCACTGTGAGCAAACTCATGGGTGGAACATCTAGGTGGACTTATAGGTGGGCCTTATAGGCATACTCACCGTCAGGCCCTGGGGCCGAGACCTTGAGCTGTGTAATGGGCCCCCAAAAAATGGAGCTGCTTCTCATTCTACTAGAACTTAGAATTTTGTGAACACAGTTAAAAACAGCCTCCAGAGTTCCTGTTCTACACCAGACCAGTGGAGCCAAACTGCAGCCCATCATCATTCTCATCTGGTTGTAAGTAGGCAATCTAGTATATTATTAGTGACACTAATCTCTAATTTACCTTACATTAAAGGGACACTATAGTCCTCAGAACCACTTCAGCTTAATGAAGGGGTCTTGCAGGCTTTTTAATGTAAACACACACTGTGTGCAGCACTGGCATTAGTTCATATGGCAGATCATATAGGTGGAGCATTGTGATGTCACATGGGGGGGCGGCAAATTTTTCTTTTGCCTAGGGCAGCAAAAATCCTTGCACCGGCTTTGATCCTGGGCAGGTGCACCAGTCTACTGGTGACCCACAGGAGGGGAGTGCACTGATTGCACTGCACTCTCCTCCTGCCCAGCCCCATCTTTACCGCAGTGCAAGTGCCCTCTAATTTACAGTGGCTCACAGTCACAGCAAACAGTGCCTTGAGCCCTTTGCAGAGACGGGAACAAAGAGGTTCTGCGGCAGGTGGCCGTCCTGCAAGCATTACATTAACCAGCTGTTCCCCATGCAGCCACAGGTGGCACTGTGCTGGGAGAATGTGATTACTCTTCACTTCCTCCCAGCCTACAGCGCAGCGCATGGGAGAGAGGGAGGAGGAGGCATGATTTAATCTTACAACAAATCCACTAAGCAAATCTTTATAAATTTGGGGGGGATCAGCTCTGTTTCCACAGTTTATTGGTGTTTACTCTGATGTCTGTATTAATATTGAGGGATTTTTAAGTAGTAACATCAGTGTGTGTCAGCAGGGCCAGCCGTTGGGGTGTGCACGCTGTGCGGTCACGCAGGGTGCCATGACAACAGAGGCGCCCGGCGGACAACACAGCTCACAAGTTGGGGACACCAGCATATTCAATTTAAATGATTCGCTGGTGGTCCACTGGTGCGCACCAGCAGTAGGTGCAGTCAGATTATATCCTCTCCCTCGTGGTTCCGGTGCTCAGTTAGTGAGTCAGAGCACAGGCTCAGAGATTCTCACCCTGCGCTCTGACAACACTGAAAGTCAGAGCCGTGAAGGAGCGGGTATGGCAAAGAGCTACTGATTAGCATAACATCAATATCCGTTATAAAACCAGGAAAAGGTGGGCACGGATGGTGAACTGATTTGGTGGTGCAATGGGCCACTTGACTGGTTTTGCCCCCCAGGCCTAGGGCTGCCAGCCCTCCCCTGGCACACCCCCTGGGCCTGATGTAACACAGACACACAAACCAATAAGAACAACACAACAATGTCTGACCTTCCCACATACAGCACAGAAGCCCTCCCCTCTACCTGTGATACAATTAATTAATTAAGACAATGGACTAACTCAATTAACTCTAAGCAGAAAAAACATACATTTTTACAAACCCCAAAAAGTACCCCAAAATTCAACATATCCACACAAATAGCTGATAGCCCTGATCTGGGTGAACAACATATCCAAAAATCACCCAGATCGGTTCAGGAATTTTCTGGAAGTTTTATTTTTGCCCCACCGTGCACATGGTCCCATGCCCAAAACAGTTCCATACAATCGACGGCAAAACACTGCTGGATTATTTAAGGTGGCCGTCGCCACATGTTTGAATCTGTTCCAGTTAGAAGTTCAAGGGGCAGAAACAGTGCCTTTAAAATCCAATATGCCCAAATAGTGTTTTTAAAGGGCAATATAGCCCAGGGGCTCTCCAAAGCAGGCCTCTCCAAATCCCAGTGACGAAGGTGCTTTCTTCACAATGTTAAACAATTTAGAAACAGTTTGACAGAAAAAAAACAGTCTTGCACAGGTAAGTCAACAACAGAAAGTCTACTCCGTGACTGTAAAGATGGCAATCAGTAGCCTCTCATTCTGGTCTATGGCAGGGTCAGTTTTCTCTTTAGGCAGTGTAGGCACCAGCTTACAGACACTTGTCCTGTAGGGGGCGTCTATTTACAGAACTTATGTGCATTTTTAGAGTTTAGGGGAGTTGGTGAGGGGACAAGTTGGACAGGTTTTACAAGACAAAGAAGGAAGCAAAACTTAGTCTTCTGGTGTCTACAAACCAGGGGGTGGGCTCAAAATTTTACTAATTTTTTTTTATTTAAATATTGATTATATATTTAATTTTGTGGAAATTCGCGAAGCACATTCTATTCTGTTATTTCACAAATCCTCTAAGAGTCACACACAGGGGTTTGACTCATGCATACAGAGGTCTGCTCTTTTTCATCATTTTGTAGGGTCCTTCTTCAAAGTCCACCTGGTCATCACCATTGAAATCAACATTACGTATAATATCTTCAATGTCCCCGTGGCCAACTTGTTGTCCGAGGAACTTTTTCCTTGCTTCACGGAGTTCACTTGTACTGATCTCTCCATCACCATTAGTATCAAACTCTTTGAAAGCATCTCGAAGCTCCTTTACTCCAATCATATCTGCTGTCTCAGCAGGAAGCTTGGGTCCCATCAACTCCACAAAATCATCAAAATCTACGTGGCCCCCAGGGTTCATGTTAATTTGCTGTGACAACTCAATAAGCTCCATCTCAGTTGGCTTGTCCCCCATGGTCCTCATACAGTCTCCCAAGTCTTTACAACTTATGTAGCCATCCTTATCTTTTTCAAATGCTTTAAATGCTTCTCTGAGCTCTTCTATCTCTTCAGAGTGCAATTCTCTGTCCTGGAGGTCGCTCAGATCTCCATAGGTGGTACAGCCATATTCCAGCTTCTCCGCTCCCCAAGCCCAGGCCAGCACATGAGCAGGTGCCTTTTGACCACTTAGTCCCCCATCTTCAGAGGGGCTGATGTCCTGTGAGACCCCCACTATGCAAGCAGTCCCACAGGGTCGTAGATGGCTGATGGACATGATGTCTTTTTTGGCTCTCTGCCCAGAAGGAGAGCAGTGTGCTGGGATGTCGCTGGGGACACCCTCCGTCACAGGCTGGGTAAGTAATCGTCTCGTCTGGCGGGACTCGATCCGGGTCCAGAAAGCTGTGCATATAGTGTCAAAAGCTGCATGGAACCTTGATTCCCATTGAGACAGTGGATGCTCAGGCGGCATGGTAGCCATCTTAGGTATGTCACTAGGCCTCTTCACGTCAGAGTAGGTGGGAGTGTCTTTGCTCCTTAGCCCCCAGCAACTTTTCTCTAGTGGGGACCGGTATAATCCCCACCAGTCCGCTGTATGGTTTGTACACGCTGGCAGCTCCAGGTCGGGAGATCAGCCGTTTCTCCCTTTCACAGATGGCCCAGGCGCATAGGCCTCAAAATCTTTTCCGGGATGCATGTGGTTCAGAAGTGTTTCAAACTCTCAGAAAAGAACTGCAGAGTGAACATGGAAAGGTAAGTGTTCGCTGGAGTCCCCTTTGAGGTTACAATCCAAGCAGAATGTTTAAGTCTCAAGCTGTATGTGAGGAGCTCACAAAGAACACAGCCATCAACCATGCTAGCCAGGCCCCGCTCCCCGTACCAATTCTTTTTAAAGGACCAATATAGGCACCCAGACCACTTCAGCTCAATGAAGTGGTCTGGGTGCCAGGTCCATCTAGGATTAACCCTGCCTGCTGTAAACATAGCAGTTTCAGAGAAACTGCTATGTTTACATATGGGTTAATCCAGCCTCTAGTGGCTGTCTCATTGACAGCCGCTAAAGGCGCTTCCACACTTCTCACTGTGATTTTCACAGTGAAAAGACACCAGCATCCATAGGAAAGCATTGAGAATGCTTTCCTATGGACTGGCTGAATGCATGCACGGTTCAGCCGATGACGACCGAAGGAGGAGGAGAGTCCCCAGCGCCGAAGGAGCCCGGAGCTGGAGAAAGGTAAGTGTTTAACCCCTTCCTCCCCCTTCAGCCAGGCGGGAGTGGGACCATGAGGGTGGGGGCACCCTCAGGGCACTATAGTGCCAGGAAAACAAGTTTGTTTTCCTGGCACTATAGTGGTCCTTTAAAGCTGTTCTCAGCAGTGAGGCCAAGTGCAGGCTACTCTCTGCGCCATACCTTTCTGCACTAATACCAAGTTCCTAGGATTCTTGGAGTGAACCTTTAAGTAACACATATTTTTTATCCTCTGTAAAAACCTATCTGCCTGTATTGAATATGTCTGTGCTTTGACAAAGGGAGCCAGAAATGTCCACATAATTCTTAATACTTTACAAAGTTAAATGAAAAATATTCTTTAAGCACAACTGATATAACAGACATTTCCATACTCATCAACAGTCAAAACCCTATAAAATAAACTATATATCCATGAATACGGTGTGAAAGCAGATTATAAGTACATAACATTTACTGGCTCTGCAGCCTAATCATATAGGTTATTAATTTATAAGCTGCTTAAAAATATATTAAGGTCAGCAAGTCACTAAAAATAACAAATATGATCTAGAAAACTGTATTTTTTTCTAATAATAAAAAGAAAATATGTTTAACTCTTTTCATCCCATATGAAACAAATCCAAAGCACCAGTGCGCCATCAACATACAGGGCCAGTGCAATGATTTTAGCTTTTTGCTGCCCCAACACCAAAATGCATATGTGTGTCTGCTAACCCCCTTTTTGAATTTCTTATGTCCTTTTTTGTTTCTTACCCCTCTTTTGAATGTCTTACCCCCTTTAGTATACCTTGTCTCCCTTATGTGTCTTACACCCATAGTGTGTCTTTACTCCCTCCAGCCCCTTTGTGTGTCTCTTTCACCTCCCAAGCCCCTCTGTGTTTCTCTTTCTCTTCTCCAGCCCCTCTGTCTGTTTCCTTCTCATCTCAGCCTCTCTGTTTGTCTCTTTCTCCCCACAGCCCCCCTGTGTGTATCTTTCTCCCCCTGCCTGGCTTCTTCTCTGTGTGTCTCTTTCTCCCTCTGCCCTGACCCTCTGTGTGTCTCTTTCTCCTTCTACCCTAGCCCCTTTGTGTGTCTTTCTCCCTCTAGCCCCTTTATGTGTCTCTTACTCCCCCTAATATTTTATTATAAGTGACATTTTTTTTAAATACAATTTTATAACATGACAGGAGGCTTCGTATTTCGCTTAAGTCTCTCTTTACTAGAACTCCACAGCAGCACAGAAAAACAACCAATCAGAAAAAAGTTAGTTACTATAAAACTCCCCTCCCCATGCATCATTTCCTCTTTCTTTGCTGCTCTGCAGTCAGTACAGGTCAGAGTACCACTGCCTCCTGCTTATAGTGGGTGGCTTTGGGGTTAATTGCTTATATACTCAGTATTTTAGGTCCCCTCTATCCCCTTGGCCTTGTCCCCCCTGTCGGTCTCCCAACTTTGTGTATGCTCCTTGTTATATATATTTTTTTGTTCCTACTTTGTCCTTATGTCTGGCGGTGTCTGTGTGCGCCGCTCGGGGGCTTCAGGAGGCTGACTGCATCTGCCTCCTTCGATCCCCGAGCTCCGGGACTGCAGAGTTCATCTTCGGCGGTCCTGTGTGTTTTTTCCGGTCGCAGGGGAGCTCGAGACGAGCACCCGGCGACGGATCTCCTTTTCCACGTGGCCGCTTCGCAATGACTGCCTCTGCCTGCGGACCGCGTGTGTCCGACCGGGCGGGGGAGGGTGCGACCGCTCGCAGCCCCTCCCCCGTCTGTTCCTAACTGGTTGGAGGTCTGTTTGAGGGGCTTTCCTCCCCTCTGTCAATCAAGGCCGGATTCCGATCACGGCCGGGTTTTTTATATCAGATGAGGGCCCTTCACCCTGCTCAGGGTTAATCTATAACCCAAGATGACTCCATATTTATATAATTTTATATAAATATTTTGCTGGGCTGGAGAATAGGCTTTAGGCAGTACACCCTGTACTGCTCTGAGATGCCTGCAGTTTGGTTTTCTGCCTTTGGCCAAACATTAAAGTCTGCCAGTTCCCTTTATAGTGGTATAGCACTTCATCACTAGTAGCTGTAACATCTGTGATATTAGACTGGAGACATTATAGCAACTTAATCCAGAGGTATTATGTAAAAATACTGTTATAATCACATTACTACCCTGCTAGTGGGTTTTACATATTGAAATTATTTAACCCAAGGTTTCCCTGTTTCATTACGCACATATATATATATATATATAATACCCCCTGTTGTTTTATATATATATATATATATATATATATAGTGGACTCTACACACGCAGATGGGCCCTGCGGCTGTCGGAACGCTATCACGGGCCTGCTCTGTCTGTGCCCCTTTGATTGGCCTGCTATGTCTGTGCCCCATTGATTGGCCTGCTATGTCTGTGCCTATTTGATTGGCAGACTATTCTGTGCCCATTCGTTTGGCCTGCTGAGCCTGTGCCCTTCTGACGGGCCTGCTCTATCGGTGCCGACCCCCTTTTGGCCACAGGCCTGGGGGAATATCACTGAGGAAAACCCAGTACCCACTATTGACATGGAGATAGGCAGGTGTCCAGGCAAGCACCGTTGCCATACTATCCAAAAGGACGCCAGTATACGGCCACCTGAGTATGGTGGGAAGCGTGAAGGCCCTAAACCTCATGCCTGAAGGGCAAGGTTTCTTATGAAGACCCGGGCACGCATCCACGGTTTACACCAGCCCAGCAACGGCACATCTCCAAGGAGAACTTCGCACAGGCAGGGACCGGTACTCAGATGCCTACAGGGGGGCACAGTGTTTCCTTGTCTTTAACAACTAACCCTCTAACTGCCTCCTGATATCCATCTAGATATCGGGAGTTATTCCTGCATAAGGTTAGCTCCTGGCCCTGTTCACTTGACCTCCTCCGACCTCCCGGGCGCTCGTGGATTGCGGAGAACGTCTCCAGCTTTCCTCAGGCTACCGACGGTCATCCTGGACCCCGCGGGCGTGCACGGGATCCGGGCGGTCAGTTGGTAGTTTCCATCATTGTTTCCGAAGGTTGCATTTTCGCACCATCCCTTTCTGTTGTTAAGAATGGACACGGCCCGAGGTTGTATACTATACCATCTGCCATCGGTCTGGTTTACTACCAGTTGATTCCTTTTCAGGTGAGCGATTCAGAGAGAGGTCTTGTGGTCGGGGAGAGACCCACCTAAGGACCTCAGTCTTATGCTGATATTAGTGATTGGTGTACCCCTGCAGTCTAGTTTGGATCACAAGAGGCTGCGGCCCTCCATCACCTCGATCCGAGAATGATATTTTATTTTCCGGAACAGAGAGCGAACCCCTCTCATATACAGAACCGGACACTAATTTGTTATTAGAGGGCACGGCCCTCCCTCAACCTCAGCCCGATACTGAGCGGGATACAGAGGACATGTTTGGAGTGACACATTCTCATAGAGAGAACCGGTCATGAATGTAGACTCTACTGTTTGGTTATTAACGGGTGCGGCCCGCTCAGGCTATCAGCCGGACGCTGACATGGAATTCGGTCACATTATTAGAGAGCGCGGCTCTCTCATACACTCAACGCTCTATGGTGCCGTCCATTTGTTCATCACACAGGCTTGTACCTGTACAAGACCTCGATGATTACATAGAGGGGCGTCCCTCCTGCATTCAATTAGATCTAATGGCCGTGCTACTGATTTCGTTATAGAGGGCTGCCTGATCATGCAGGATATACATATTTAGACTGGATCCCTCTATTTTATCTCCAGTAATGGATCTACTGGATCTGGACCACTGTACCACACGCGAGAAATACTTACAGAGGTATAACGGGGGGAGACTCCCACTTATTTACACACACTCCTGGAGACGGTACGGCTAACGGGTGAGCCTCAGGTATTACAAGAGTGCAGGTTTTGGTATATTCTGCGCTATATAAAACAGAGAATTGCATTCTGTTTTGGAAATCCGGATCATTGCGAACAAACTGCGCAGACAGTTTTCCCATATCAAGATGACATGAGATACGGAGACTTTCATGGAGCAAACGGGCACTGCCTTGCTCGGGTAACAAGACTAGGGAAGGCCTACTACCTGGTCTGAAAGTACACCATACGCATGGATCGCATGGTAAGACCGGAAACCCCGGTTGTCTTGTGTTCCCTGGTCATTACAATCTTGGAATAAGATGGCAGGACTGCCCCTACTCCTCTGAGCACATACCTGGAGAACATGGTTCGGAGAT